GCCCTCCCTTCCTTCCATTACTTTCATCCTGGTATTTCATTACAGCAGCAGAGAAAAAAACCAAAGCAAGGCTTGCGACTTGAGAGACACTGTCACCCTGTCATATCTTTCTGTTCTTCACACCTTCCCTGTGAAGAAGAGAAGGCAGACAGTTGTTCCCGGGCCTGGTGCTGGCCAGTGTGTCTTCACCCAGGAACGGTGTCACTCCAAATAACATGAAAGCTTGAGAAATAAGTTCAGATTCACACTTCTCATTATCACCCTTTCCTCTTTCTTCTGATGGAGTCAAAAAAATCACAGCCACACTTTCCAGGCCTCCAATAGTGAACCCAGCAGCTGGCTCTTTAGCCAGGCTCTCCAGGGACCCTGGGCCCTTTTTACAATGATACCCAAGGCCTGTGGCCCTAAGGAAGCCCTCGGCAAGTATGTCCTTGAGCTCTGCCGGGAGGAACCAGACTGTCATTGCCAGTATCAGGGTCTTTTCTGTGGAGCTCCAAGCTGAACTGGCAACTCTTTATTCCTAGTAATCCAGCCCTGCTAATTCTAAGGCCCAGACTCTGATAGGAGCCTGAACCCAGATGGCCCTTTGATATTGGTGATTCCAGTACCAGGAAGGGCGCATCTTAACAGACTCCTTTTCAATCTTCTTCTTTGATTACAGCTATACAAATCAAGGCTTCTCTGAGGTCAGGATAGGTCCCTGGTCACCTAAGTCAGCTCAACCTCCTTCCTCCATATCCACATACCCCTAAGGGTCACTCAGGAGCTGGTTATACATACAGATTCTAGACCTCACACCCATAGGTCCTGATTCAACGTATGCCTGGAGACCAGTGTCTTCAGGGATTTCTACCCCAACCCTATGAGATTTTTGAGGGCATTTTGTCACTGGTTCAAACTCAAGGAAGCCCTGTCCTGCAGGGTAAGAACAACACCGCAGGTTCCAAGCTGGGTTTTGTATTTGTTTTTCTTTTTTTTCTCCAAAGATCAATGTCAAAGGAATTCCCTGGGTATGATTACACCCATCGTGGGGTGCAGAGGAACAATTATTCTCAGAGCTAAATTTAACTACGATGGGGGGGGGGACTGTGAACTGTCAAATGGGCTCCAGGTGCACTGTCATGTTCTTGCATGCAAATCACAGGCCTGGGAGGGCTGCCAGGAGGAGGGTAGAGTAGGGGGAGTACCACAGCAGACAGGAAGCCTGCTGGAGACACAGAAGCCTGAAAAGCAGTGACTCCTGCCTCCAGCCTGGCTCTGGCCCGCTAGAGTCTGCTGATTTGTCTAAGATGGAGAGGCATGTGCCTCTGGGGTTGCAGGCTACAGGTAATTGTTTCCTACCATAGTATCAGAGGTGTCTGGAGGCAGTTCTGTTCACACCTGGAGACTCCACTGGGTGACCGTGAACTGTTGACCTTGAATTGGAAGGTGGCAGTTAGGGCTGGAAGGGAAACTTGAAGTGCTCTCCTTGTCCAGGGGGCAAAAAGATTTTACTTGTTTTTAAACTCTGGAGGAGGTTTAAAATGGACTCACTATTTATTCCCCCATCTCTGGTTAGCTTTTGAAGTTTGCAACTTCTTACATGTCTTTAAAAAGTGAAAAGGGGCCTAGAAACTGAGGGAGCCAGGTTTGGTAGCATACACCTTTCATCCCGGTGCTCAGATGACAAAGGCAGGCAGAGCTCTGAGTTCAAAGCCATCCTGGTCTACTTAGAGTGCTGCTTACTGACTTGCTCCCCATGCTTGCTCAGTCTGTTTTCTTACTGCACCCTAGAACACCAGCACAGGGCTTGCACTTCCCACAGTCGGCTAGGTTCTCCTCTACCAATCATCAATTAAGAAAATGGGTACTACAGACTTGCCTATAGGCCCATCTTTTTTTTTTTTAATATTTTTTATTGAAAAAAAAATTTCCGCCTCCTCCCCGCCTCCCATTTCCCTCCCTCCCCCCAC